GGAGTGAAATTACTACTTGTGTAGTTTGGCATGAAGCGACACATTAATTAATGCTCTGTTCTACCTCTGAGCAACTAAAGACTTTGCAGAACATCAAAATGGACAATATGCAGCTTTGGCTTCTTGGACTATATGTACCACACTAACAGAAATACAAACAGAAAATTATATTGAATGACTGGGGAGCAGAACATCTTGAATAACTTGGATAGCATCCCAGAATCATTTAGGTTGGAAAAGACCCTTGAGATCATTGAGTCCAACCGTAAGCCTAATTCCCCAAAGTCTACCACTAAACCAGGCCCCGAAGTGCTATGCCCACAAGCAGTGTATGGTTGTATTCTCCACAGTGAAAGTAGTTTATGTTTGTCTGAAAGGTGTTTATAAATTGTAACAGTTCTATACACATAAGTTAGTATTTTAGGGTTTGGTTAAAGTATTTTAATGATACATGCACATACATACAAACATTATGCATATGAAAGATATGCAGAGATAAAAGCTAACTGACAGACAGGCTTAACAAATGCTTTTGTCTCTTAGCACTAACTCTTTCTAACCAACACTGAACTGTAATGCAGCTATATAGCAAGTGATTAGTACACAGTCGTACAGTGAAAGGCACAGGCAGGGTGAAAACCCACGAATCAGGGGAATCTAGTAATCTACACTTTTCCATACCTCCTGTTTCTGTTGCCTATCACTCAAAAACTGCTTGAAATACCAGTCACAATTTTCTCGTAGCAATCCTCGGAGGCCCAGGGCTGGTGTTGTCAAAGCTTCATACAGTGCTAATGCATCTCCTTGCTCCAGAGCCAGGTCAATCTTCGATATGGCTGCATGTGCTAGCAACAACAAAACAAGAGTTTGGCAAGAAATGTGAAATGAGGAAGTCCCATGGTTTACATAACTTACCACCCAGGAAGAAATACTCTTAGACCTGGTAGATCGCGAGTTAGGTATATAATCCAAATGGAAGACTTCCAAAGTCAACTACAAAGCAGTACTTGAGAAAGGGGCTGATGGCTGGAAATAGCATGCATTATTCAAGATGAAGAACTGGAGGGACCAGCAACATGGACAACCCATTTCCAAAAGGAAATGCAGCAGAAGTTGGAGTGAATTAAGCTTACAACTATGTACTAATAGTGAGTAAAACAAAACAACAACAACAAAAAAAAACCCTAATCAAACAACAACAAAAAAACCAACACAACCCCAAAAACCAAAATATCCTACCACTAAAACACCTCACAAAAACAGGGGAGTTGCCTTTAACTTTTGTTAGCATTCCAGAAAAAACATGTTCATATTACAGAGAAAGAGGAGAAGCACAGATATTGAAGTACTCCCTTAATCAGGACTATTACTTTAATATGATACCTACCATTCACTTTATTGATGTTGCCCTGAATCTCAGCTTGAGTCAGAAGTTCTTCATAGACATCTCTCTCTCTATCTGAATTTTCTGAGGCAATCTGAAGATGAAATAAAAACTAATCAGTGTTTCTACAATTTCCTTCACCCTCACAGATTTTCTAACTGAAAAGGTCAGGGAGGTTAACTGTTTATCTATATAGAGCTGTGATAGCTAATCTATGACCTATCTCTACACATGCAAAAATAGGTCCTAGACACAAATACATTTAAAGTAAGTATAGTCACACCCTGCTACAGCCAGCCTAGAAACACTTTATTCCAATGTAATGGCTCTAAATGAACACACAGGAGAGCTCCAGAACATAGAAAGCAGTACACAGAGCTAGGCATACGATATATAGTGTTCTAAAACAACGTTATCACTTCTGACATCAGTCAGTTTGGATCATCATTCCGTTGTTAGGACAACAAATCTATATTATAGGAAAATCAAGGGAGGCACCCCCAACATAAAGAGGCTGATATGAATTCTGTATCTGTGTGGCCCATATTTTAGGCAGCTAAACAGGCTGCCACAGCTAACTGCTGCCTGTCTTCTACAGTAGGAAGACAGGTTACTGGGGAACGTATCAGAATACCACCAGAAGCAAATCCACCTAATGCTATGCACATACAGAACTATAACAAACACTCTGAGTTCCCCACAGTCTACACGGTAATACAAAATAGCAATGCATCCAAATAGTTGGTTTGAAAGAAGAACTGATCTACCCTATTTTTAGCATTTTCCATCTTATCTTGCTTTGCTCTGTAGAGTGTGTCTTGGTACGTGGATTCCAGTCGATCATCAAGATTTATTAGCATAGCATTAGGGTTCTTCATTGCCATAAGAGTGTCAGCTGGAACCTGATGGTCAATTGCTTCATTAATGGCAATGACTGCAGCATGTACTGAAAAACAAGTCACAGGCTGACAGTTAATCCCAAACACAACAGCTCTGTTAAAAATCAAGAATTTATCTGAGAAGTGCAAAAGAATTATCTGGAAATTAACTAGAAAGCCAAAGAATTATCAAAGTATCTCTCTTTCCACCGTGGCTTTGTGTTCTTGAAAAAAGCAGCAGCCTACTTTCTAGTATGATACTCTAAATAGTTGAATCATCATGTTCCAGAAAGAAGATTGAAAAAATACATGAGGGAAAGAATAAAAACTTCTTCCCAGCCTTCCAAAAGGCCTATCAAAAAGGACTGCCCTAGCTGTAAAACAGGGGCCATTAAAACCAACATTTAATTGAAAAAGACCAGTCTGATCTGCAGATTTGAATAATCAAACAAAACTCCCATTTTCCTTACATGCTGCTTCATCCACAGAAAGTTCATTTGCAAGAATTCCTCCTATCTTGCTGAAGGCAGGCATCTGAATACCATACTTCTCCAGTTCAAGCCTCATATTACTGATTTCCTCCTCTGAAACATACATTAAAACAGTGTTACACAGACATAACTACATTATCACTGCTTTACTAACTGCTGCTAGAAAAAAAATTAGGACAGCTGCGATAAATTCCAATTACTGTTTCAATAATACTTTGAATGTAAGTCATTAGGCAAAAGAAAATAAATGAAAACTGGAAAAACATTTTGCACACTTTGCTAAAATCTGCATTTTTTCCAGGAACTCTTTTGGCGATATTCAGTAGGCTTTCTCTCTAGAAAAAACACCCGACTCTCACGAGGAGCTGAAAACAGACTCCATTCTGAGGTACCTCAACTGTGGTTGCCAACAGGTCAGGAAAATGCACAGGCAGTAGTTTACAATTTTCTTTTTCCTCCACAGAGAGACTACACTGAGAGAAGCAAATGGAGGGTATCGAGACATGCAGTTGGTAAATACCATAAAACTCGAAAAGAGTTAATAGTTTATCATTTTATAGGTACAATCAACAACTGCTTTGCAAGGAAATAAAGCTTACACACCTTTTAAATCAGATAGATGCATGCCCTCAGGCAAGAACCTCACTAATGCAAAACACAGAACTGGACATTTTGGCAAAAATTAAGGAAGAAGGCATGTGGACACAGGACTTTTGTGCTGGCATCTCCTGCAGCAAATCAGCAGGCAAATGCCTCCTCAGTTGATGGCACATCCAAACTGTCACTGGAGGTCAAAACTGCTTACCAAGTTCCCAACTGAAAACTTTCCCAAGGGGATGGATGCAAGGCTTAAGCATCTTACAGTGGTGACAAGAAAGCAAAGACATTGTTATTTGCAAAAGTAATGATTAGTGAACCAATGGCTACTTAACAGCCTGGCTCAGAAGCATCCAAATCAAACCTTTTCCTTAAATTACTAGGACTCCTCACAGCCATTAATTTTTAGTTTAATTTGTATTTAGGATGTCAACAGTAACAGTCCTTTAATTGATCCAAACAACAGTTCAACAATTGGCCTAGTAGAGTATGAGATAAAGGCAGCACACATCAGTGTTGGGTTTTGGGGATTTCTTTTTTACCTGTGAAGTCCACCTTGCCATATAAATCCTGAATCTGGGGGGCAAGACCCAATTTGAAAAGGTACAGGCTAGAAAAGAAAATAAACAAGTAATTAGAACTAGTAATTTTTCTTTGGAGTTCTGACAATGATATAATTTTAGGAGATACAGATTCAAGAACAGATAAGCCAATGTAACAGCTGATAATCACCAAAATGGTGAGCTGACTCCTCTTTTCCCCCCTCAGCTGAACGTAACTGGTCCACCACTCTGAAGTCTCCACAGAATTACAAAACGGTTGTGGCTAGAAGATCACTCTCAAGTTTATCTTGTTCCAGCTCCCTCTTCAAAACAGGTCACGTAGGATCGAGTTTCCCAGGATCATGTCCAAATGGCTTTTGAGTATCACCAGAGCCATTCCTTGGTCATCCTCACACTGTTTCCTAATGTTCAGAGAGACCTTCCTGTGGTTCCGACTGTGCCAGTTGCCTCTTGTAATGTCATGGGACATCTTTGCATCCTCCTTTCAGACAGCTTCACATATTGCTGAGATTCCCAGAGCCATCTGTTCTCTAGGCTGAATAGTCCCAACTCTCTCAGCCTTTCTTGGTAGGAGAGATCCTCTAGTCCATTAACCATTTTAGTGACCCTTCCTTCAACTCTCTCCAGCATGTTTGTGTATCTCTTATACCGGAAAGCCCAGACCCAGACCCAGGGCTGCAGGTGTGGCCTCACTGGCAGTGAGTAGAAGGGAAGTATCCACTAAGCAGATGTGGCTTACTAAAATGGGGTTAATGTATTCACCTGGAGTCTGATGAGAAATGGAACTGCTACAAAGGAGGGGTGAATCCATGCAGCTAAGTATGAACAGGACTGCGAAAAAGAGAAGCAACTCCTCTATTTTTTGCCTGTCATGCCACCTCAGCACAGATCACAGAATCACAGAAAGGCTTGGGTTAGAAGGGACCTTAAAGATCATCTAGTCCCAACCCACTCCCATCCAACCTGGCCTAGAACAATTCCAGAGATGGGGCTGCCACAGCTTCTCTGGGCAACCTGCCTCACTATCTTCTTAGTTAAAGAATGTCTAGCTCTGCCTCAGACAGCAGGGAAGCTGAAAATTGGAATGGAAAGACAGTAATCACAACATCTTGGCTTGCTCTTTTTCCTTCAGCATCCAATTTGGCCACTGTCAAGGCAAAATTCTGGCTTCGTGGATCTTTGCTTTGACCTGGTAAGACTGTTCTGCTAGAAAATTCACCCTCATCTAGCCTCCAGTTCAGCTCTGTCTCCTCTAACTTTTCAGACTTACAGAAAGATTTCAAGGAGCAGTAAGATTTCTGTCTAGTATGTCTTACCTGAGTGCATGAATACAATAGATACAGCGTGGCATGTTCTTGCGATCATAGATATCTGTAGTTTCTGGGTAGAATATCTAAAGATAAAACGAAGTTATCAGTCTGAATTATACTCACTCTATATAGCCATAAATAAGCCAAATTCTTCCTCAGTATGCTGATGAAATAGCCCATGGAACAAAATCCTTCAAGCTTCTCTGCCCTGGACCAACATTTCTCCTACCTGAAGTGTCAATCCTTCCTTTTGTTTCTAACACCCAAACCAAGGCTCCCCTTTTCCTGCCAAGTTCTACACACATGGATGGAGAGAACCTTTCTTCTGTGTGCACAGCAAGATAGCGGGTCATGAGGTATTAGGGAGGACTTTGGTGAAAGCCAATTGATGAAAAAAATACTTATGGCAGAAAACAGAAAAAGAGGAATTTGTTTGGATTAAATTGGGTTGAGAAGCAAGAGAAAAGACAGTGACAAAGAGAAACTCAGACCAGCACTGAGGTGCTCTGCGTATTACATTTTCAGCTAGCTAGACCTAAAAGGTTGGAGTGGATGATCTCAGAGGTCTTTTCCAATCTAATTTATTCTGTGATTCAAAAGCTTCAGAGAATCTCAAGCACAAAGTTTAACAAAAGGTGTTAATACGAAGTCTCAATCAATTCAGAAGTACTGACAAGGTATGTTATTTTCTAGTTATTGGAAGGTTCCTTGCTGCTGCTGCCTTTGAGCACAAAATAGCATTGCTTTCTGTAAAGGCAAGAGCAACTGAAGGACCTTCAATTCCACAGCATCAGTTCCCTGGCTCTTCTGCACGGAAAAATACTTAAAGTACCAGTATCTCTTGTCAATGTACTGGACTCCAGCCCAGTTTCTTTAACATCTTCTCACATATTTACTTCCACCCAAGACCCACTTACACCTAAAAATCTTACTTATACTTGGCACTTCATGTCTCTCTGACTCCTTGTTTATTTTCACCTAACCACCTTAACAGCATATTTCAGTTTTGCCTAATTCCAAATGTGTTCCTGTAAAATCATCCTAAATCCCAGGAAGGCTCAACTAGTAAATCACAACAAGTTATTTTAAAACCTTTGCCGAAAATGAACTGCTCGATCTGCAAGCACAAACGTAAAGACAACATACATCATGTTAAGCTACACAGTGCCAGTTTTGGTGACACTAAACAATCTACAGAAAAACTTGACTATCAGCCCAATACTACCACAGTTCCACATAACTTCAGGCAGCTGTGTTTATTAGCTCAGAGACATTTATCTGGCCATATCTCTAGTCAAGCCAATAATTTATATTTGATTAATCCACAACAGGAACATTTCAACTTGACATGAAAATTTCACAGGGACATCTGAAGAAACAGAGAGCTTAGTAGATTCTGCTGTGCTGCTTCATTTAGCACAGATTTCTGAAAAAACTTCCAAGATCAAACTGTAGCTCAGATACTGCTCAAGAGAATGCATGGCAAGAACAATGTAATGCAGATGTTATGCAAGATTAGTAATATTAAAGATATGGTACAAAAGGATAAATTATTTTGCTCCTAATCATTCTCACACACATAGCAGAATGATATCTTCCAGCAAGTTTTAGAAGAGAATTTCTGTAAGGATACAAATCTGGAAAATTAACTAGATTAAGTATGCTGATTTTTGTACAACGCAGAATATAAAGTTTTTTAGAGGTTATTTATTTATTCAGATGTACAACATAGAATTACCTTGGGGAGACCAATCTCAGACATGGCATTCAGCCACTGGATGACATTATCTGTGTGTCGGAAGTGGAGACCAGTTGCCTGAAATAAAAATAGGCAGGAACAAGGGAGAGGGCAGTAAGAAACAAAATACCATGGCTGCCAAGAACAGCAGAGAGGTTCATTAAGACAGACAGTGAAATCAGCAGTTTTGTAGAAAAGAAGTCAAAAGCCTTCTATATATGATTATATTGACTATGTATGACAAATTCATTCACCTAAGTGCAAGCTTAGATATAAAGCCAAGAGTCCACCCACCCCCTTAATTAACCATCGTTTCAGAGTGAAGTTGGAGCCTCTCAGGTAAGACTAATATAAACTTTCTGCTTATTTGCTCGCAGTACCTCCTTTTGTACATTTACCTATATTAGATGCCTATATAAAGAAGTATCCATGGTCAACAGCACTCACCTTGTATCTAGTCTGTTCCCTATCATAGATTTTCTTCACAGAAACTACTTTAGGGGAGAAAAAGTTTCCAAGTTTGGCCAGGTAGACTCCATTTCTCAATCCTTCTTCCAGCTCTGTTGTGGGAGGCAGGTCCTCATTCAAACAGGCCTCCATCCATCTGGAAGAGGAAGAACAATAAAGCTGGTCCCATGAGTCTATTTCCAATTTATGCTAAGTTGAGGGTTTATGAACATAAACCCATGACAAGTTTCATGCTGCTACTGCTGTCATACTCTAGCATACCATGCACTTAGCACTAGGGGTTGAAAATGGATAAAGCACTACCACACAATGCAGGTCATTAAAAAGCTCATCAGTAAAGTTCTTCATACAAAATATTAAGGAGAAATACAGTTTATCAGTTCATCAGCCAGAATTTCAAAAATAATTAGATAACATCTCATCTTCATGTTTCTCCTTCAGTTCATTATTCGGTTGTTACTGGTCTAGACATAGTGGCCAGCCTGTCCTTTTAACTAACTTACATCTTCCTCTTGAGTACAGATTATCTCACAAGCATTTCTTTACTCTCATTAGGCATTTGGTAGTTATTCCATGACTTTGTGCCACTTGCTCGGGCCCTTTTAACTGATCTCATAGAGAAGCCCTGTAACATATACAGAATCATAGAATGGTTTGGGTAACCTTAAGGTAACTTTAAAGATCATGTAGTTCCAACCTTCTTGTGAACAAGGACACCTTTTACTAGACCAGGTAGTAGAGCTAGCTCTCATTAGGCATTTGGTAGTTATTCCATGACTTTGTGCCACTTGCTCGGGCCCTTTTAACTGATCTCATAGAGAAGCCCTGTAACATATACAGAATCATAGAATGGTTTGGGTAACCTTAAGGTAACTTTAAAGATCATGTAGTTCCAACCTTCTTGTGAACAAGGACACCTTTTACTAGACCAGGTAGTAGAGCTAGAGGAGCGCTCCATCCATATTCCTGTCCTTGTAACAAGTCATTTTCCTTTATCTTGTTGCCTTCCATCTCATTTAACTGTGTCAGAGATTGTCATTACAAAAATAAAGACTACAGCAAATAACTGGAAAAATCCCTGTTCTCAAAACAGAGGTGCACCTTGCTATTTCTTCTGTACGAGCTACCAGAGGCTGCATACTGCAAGCTCAGCCACAGCTTCTTCTAAAGATGACATGCTCCCTGGCTGCTCTGTTCTCTAGAAAAGGGAGCTGCACAGTCACAGGCCACTTTCTATAGCATCTTACTTAGATCGTGCCTCACTTGCAGCTCAACTCTAGAGCTCTTACAGGACAGATGAGCCTTGGATCCAACAAGATCACAGAAGAGTGGCTTTCAAGAAAACAGTGGCCCAGAATAGCAACAGTCCACACGACAAAACAGAGCTAACAGCATAACATAAGCAAGGTTAGTAATTTGGCTCACAAAGATGATAAGCCCACATCACTGGGACTGATCTGAAACACAGGCATGTAGACAATCCTGCTTGAACCCAGGGAACAGAATTTTAATATTCTAAATACTGTTTCAGATACATACTGTCAACTATTTAGCTCCATATTAATCCAGGCAAAATACCAGGAAACCATCATACTGGATGCAAGTGATAACAGATTAAATGAATAATGGCAGTGAATTAACACAATTTCATACATATTATGAACTAACAGACATCTCCAAGCAGTGTTTTCATGGGGATTCATTGAATGGTACTGTTTCTAATGCATTTTGGCATGTATGTGTGCTACACCTCCTCTTTCAGTTTTTCAGGAGGCTGACAAAATTAGGTAATTAGAGGATCACACCAACATTAGCATAACTGCCATCCACAACCATGCTATTACTACTGGTTTTATGCATACAACACTGATGAGACTAACCTTGTCATTGTGATCTCCATTTTTTCAAGCTGGAGAGCAGCAATAAGAGGGGAAAGAAGTTTTTGATTAGCTAAGATAATACTTCACAGTGAGAGGTCTGAACAATGCAACATATTCAGTTTGTTGAAATACAGTCAGAGCAGCAGCTTGGTGCTTTGGTAACAGACTGAAATCAAACGACAAACAGTAGTCACTGACATCAACCTGTTCCACCTTTTCTGATACCAGCACCAAATCTAAGGCAGGAGCACGTGAGCCACACATGGATCAGCTTCTGAACCACCAATGTTCAGTCCAATACACAAGGCTCAATCGAAAGAGCTAAAAATTGCTTAACTTGCAATATCTGAGAAGACGACAGAGTAAGCAACCTTTCTTTCTGACCTTAATGAGAAAATAATGTGATGATTTCTCTACAGTAATTTAGAAAAGTATTATAAACATAAAAATTAGTTTGCATTTTAGGGATACTTTTGCAGTTTATCTCAAGTACAGAACACTGTAGCAGTACATGACAGAGATGAGATGCATTCAAACTCCCCACAGACTTACATCTCTCCTGAGAAGGCAGCAAAAAGCATTTCAAATTACAGAAGATAAGTAGCTGTCAGTAAAAATGAAAAATCTCCCAGGCTCAAATATTTTAACTCTCAAAGGAAATAGAACTTTGACTAGTGCAGATATGCAGCCTTAGAGAATCTTAACTGTCTTGCCTGTATTCAGATTCAACTACCTCTAAGGTTTACCTTTTTTAACCTACCTCAGAGCTAGTCACGCTACCATAGCTCCTCCACTTTCATGTCTATTAGCACAAACAGAATGCTCCCTAAATATACATTTCTGATGTATGTTTCCAAAATACAGCACGGTACCAGCTGCTGAGAAAAAAAAACGAACTCGATTCCAGCCAAAACCAGGACAGTATCACACTTTCCTTCCTCATGTGACATAAATAGTGTTTTGTGACTTAAGACTGTCATATTTCCTCAGGTTAATTTTATAACTAGGAATGCAAAGACTCAAAGGGACTAATAATCAATCTGGTTGCCATAGCTTCTTGAATAGAATGTTCTCAAAGAAGCCTCCAGACAAATGAAAAATTGTAGATCATAAGACAGCTAAACTGGGAGAGCACTTTCAATCCCAAATGGGACACTACGACACTGTGGACTGCAGCCTGAGGTCAAGAAAAGGGAAGTCTGTAACCCAAAGCAGTACCTGGAAAAGCAACAAGGAGTAGTGTTTACCAGAAAGAAAAGGGTTCTGGGAACACCTGGCAAACTTCTGTACATAAGCTACAGAAAGAAACTAATTATTCTGAAAACTACTATTTTCCCAGGTTTTGCTGCTTTCCTCTCAAAAAACTTCATTGCTCTTAAACGTTAAGTTCTAGAAAAATGCAGATAGCAACTGAATATGTGGTAGAGAAAACGACTCTGGACCGTTATCCAAAAGATACTATCACTTGTATATCATAGACCATTACTACCAAAGACTCCTGAGAGGACAGAGAGCTACTCAAACCCTGCAAGAATCCAAATGATAGCAATAAGGTTCACAATACCTTCCCAAGCACCTTACTGGGAAATCAAAAAGAAAAAAAAAAACCAAACCACCCACTTTGTTCAGGCTAGAAGACCTAAAATGAAAGCAGAATGGATATGGGACCACACCAATTAATTAATGCCTTACAGAAGGACATAGAGGCAGCGAATTCTATTTAAGCATCTCCATAAAGTAAGACACATAGCCCACAATTACAACATAAGCTGTCTCAATGTACTCATACCTGTTGCAACAGGTTCCTAAGGGGGTGTTAATATACTGATAAAATTAGAGCAATTTACATACAATAACACTCCCACCTGGTGTGGCATTACTTAACCATTTGCTAGGTCAGAAGACAAAGCTACGCTTTCAGACAACATTATCCAGTACCTTCTATAGTTAAGGCTCATATAATTGTATTAAAATTAACACCTGTCATCATTAAAAGGCAGAAATACCTGTGGCATTTCCAGATCAACATGAGGAATGCATTTCTGAATGGGCGGGGGGGCAACAACCTCTACTCCCTTTAGACAGTAGGCATTAGAAAACATGCCATTTTCTAACCTTCCATCGGCCTACAATTTCAAGACAATGGTTCTTGTTCTTTTACACAGACCTAGCCCGTGGCTTTTTTCACTGAGGCCAAATACACTACCTGGGTCTGCACCTGGGGGTCATACTTCCACTGTGCTGCCTCAAGAGCGGCATTCTGGTACTTCTAGCAATTAAGAACTCTAAGAACATGAAGTATGTAATCCTGACACATCATGCTGAAGGACAAACAGTACCACTCGTATCAGTCCACAGAATGACACCACATTCTGCTTACTGCAAACCTCCCCAACTTCATTAGCAGGAAAACTGCAAACAGAACCTCAAGGTAAACTTCTGAGCCTCTAATTTGAGAGTGCTGGCCACAGAGTTCTTGATCATGGGGCAGAATCACACGAGTCTTCTCTTTGTAAGCATGTCAATGCCACAGCACTCCTTGCTTGCTTCTAGTGTACCCCTATCAACTACAATGCATAAGGCTGTTGTCTCCTCCCCCCAGAAGGCTGAATATGCTCTATTTCCTCCTGCAGGAGATTTAAACATGGACTAGAGGGGCATAGAGCTTGATTCTCTTTCCAAGTGCATGTGATTGTTAGCCTTCAGTCTCTCTAACACTGTCTGTATACTATACCAATAAATTTTAAGTAGAAAACAAGCCTGCCTAAACCTGTTCTCTACTAACACCGTGAAATGCTACGGCCTGGACAATAGGCCTAAGCCAGAGCTGACTTAGAGATGAAGCCTGTACTCCTTGCGAATAGTGCTTCATGTTTGTTAGTTAACTAAATCACTGAATGTAGAACATAGACATAGATAACCTTTGCATAGGCTCTGTACCTGTCCTAGACCATGCCACCTTCTACAAAATATCTTCTAGATAACCTTGGCACAGGCTATGTACTTGCCTGTGAAATATTTCCAAGGTCATGCCCTGTCTGTAATGTATCTTAGGACTCCACCACCCACATGCTCTGGCCATGCCTCAGCCTTGGGTGGTCGGAGGGGAGAGCCACCAGGGGTTTTCCACATCAGATCAAAACCAGCGCAGGTTATTTTTAGCCTGTTGATTTGGCCTATAAAATCTGGAGCCTCTCACAGTGACTTTGGACGCCTCAGCTCCGACACACTGTGTAGGATTTCCCAGTTGCCGGGA